GAGGGTAAGCTGCACTTACTTTTCAGACGCTCAAATATTTGTCCTTCCCTCTCCATTCTGCAGATGGAAGATTGTACCAACCATTGGAAGTATGGGCCCCAAAACTCATTACTAATTACTCCCACCTTTGTTGTTCACCAATGCATGCACAGTTCACTCTCTCTTATCTCTCTCTGTCTGGATCTGGGACTAACTACAATTCCACATTTCAGTGCAACTATAAAGAATGATTCATAGAGATTAATTCAGTTGTGCCTTAACTGCTCCATTGTGAGGACCAAGAAAGTTTTGCTTAACCAAAGTTAAAGCCTAAAGTGTTATGAACAGCAATTTAAGTTACTTGTCCAGTGTTTCTAGTGCAACAAGAAGAGAAAAATTGTCAACTTCCATAGAAAACACACTTTTATCTTTTGAAGTAATTAGGACATATAAAAGGGTCAAAAAAGGGTGATGTATGAGGGAACTCATAGGTGTTTACTAATTCATTATACAATATTAGCCTCATGATATACTGTAAATGAACACATATGCAAAACAATGCATACTTTTATGCCAGAAACTAGAAATGGGCAAATTGTTGGTTTTGAAAATTTTAAGAAATTCAGTTAACCCTAGTGGTAAAATAAAAGGAAGGGACTGATAATTCTTTCTCCTTTTGCTGCCCTTGGCCCTTGTCTAGTATTTTTTTCTTGTGCTAAAATCAAGGTCTTTCCTATCTGAAGATTTAGAGGACATTTAGTTCTTTCATCGTGAATATATATATACTTTTTAAAATCTTTTTTTACAGAACAAAACTGAAGTGCAGCAAAGGAAATGAAGTCACAGCACTTTGCATTTTATAGTCTTAAAATCAAATACTAACTGAGAATTGGGTTAACTGTTACAGGAATCCATAAAATATCCCACAATTTATGCTGAGATGTAAATTATTTTTGCATTTCATGCTATTATGCAATATGCTTATCATAAAAGGGTCATTTTGTCTTATAGCTTCAGAACTAATAGATAACTTTCTTTCAATTAGTTCTGCCTTCTTGTGTAAGCACTATTGAATGTGAAGTGGAAGTTTTATGTTAGGTAAAAGGCTGTAATACAAGTTTTAATAACACCTAAAGAATTTAGCATGTTTTGCTAACACTCAATTACCGAAGCTATGAAATATATTTTTTTCTGTTTCATCTAATAGTTGCATGTCAAGCAAGTTTTCAACAATGAATATATAACACGCTTTTGCCACTATAGGATGTCTAAACTCAAGAAGAAAAATGTTATACATTGCTGCTTATCAGTCCTTAGCTGCATTTTTCAAGCTAAGTACAAAAATACATGTTGACCCTGAGGGGGTTGTAAACCCAGTATCCTTGTCAGTGGCATCGCTAGAGTTGGTGTTACTTTGTGCACTAAACCATGGTGTGTCACCTCCCCCACCCCCCACCCCCAATAAGGCTGAGAGAGAGAGGGGTGACAGAGAGGGAGTAAAAGGTAAGGGAGTAGGGGATAAGAGAGAGGGGGTAAGGGGGGGTGAGATAGAGAGGGGTAAGAGAGAGAGAGAAAAAGGTGAGAGAGAGGTGGTGGAGGATGAGAGTGAAAGGGGGGTGAGAAAAAGAGGGTAAGAGAGAGATGGGGTAAAAGAGAGAGAGGAGAGGGGAGGGTGAGAGAGGGAGAATGACAGAGAGGGGGTGAGAGAGGAGGTAAGAGAGGAGGGGTGAGAGAGAGAACAGGGTGAGAGAGAGGGGGGTAAGAGGGGGGGGTAGAGAGAGGGGGTGAGATAAAGAGGTAGAAAGATAGAGTGGTAATGAGAGAGAGTGGGGGGTAAGAGAGATAGGGGGGAGAGAGACAGTGGGGGTGAGAGAAGTGGTGGGAGGTGAGAGGGGGGAATGATAGAGAAAGGGGGATAAGAGAAAGGAGGTGTAAGGGGGTGGTGGTGAGAGAGAGTGGGAGTGAGAGAAAGAGGGGTTGAGAAAGAGGTCAGTTTCCTTTTACCTCCGTCCTTGCCACTCTCCTTTGAAATTCACTTTCCTTCACTTCTGTCCTCCGCCATTTGCTTCACTAGCCTTTACAGGGATGAGCCTATAGGGCATGAAAGGATCTAGATAACTTCCATTTTGTATTATGTACGCCATTTTAAGTATTAAGTTAGCTTTTTGCAGATATATTAGAAGCTTAATGAAACTGTTTTAGTTGTTCAAGGATGTATCAACAGAAGCTAACATGACCCTGACAATGTTTTTGTCTGGTTGTTTCTCAGAAAGTTAGCCAAAACAATTTGTACCAAGAAATGTATATGTTATGTTTCATGTAGTTAGCTCATGATGGAAATTTACAAGTTACAGTTTTGAAACTCGCTCCCCCCTCCCTTATTTTATCTGTAGTCTATATAATCTTATTAATGTCTAATAAACTTTGAACATCTCTGAACATAAGCTGCCGTTATTTCCGTGTTCAAGGGGTGTTCCCAGAATTCTACTGATAAACCAGGAATCTCTCCACAGACCGGGGGTCTCTGAGGGGAAAAAGAAAATCATTTCTTTCAGGGCACTTCCCCAGCTCTATTTGACAGATGGGGAGAGATATGGGGTGCCGGCCAGAGATTGCAGCGAGGCACTACCTGGATGCCGGACGCTAGCAATGATTCTGGTGCCCAGCCCCCTCCACATTATGCTGTGTCTCAGTCCTGGGAGAAGGAATATGATGGCTGGGCACAGCGGCAAGGTAGGAGGCAGATGGGGGGAGTGTTGGCTTTTGGGGGGGTGCAGTAGCCCCCTAAATCCGACAATGAGTATCCCTTGGGGCCCCCTACTGGCCATGTTGATATGGGGTGCAGGGGGTTGTGGACTTCCCCTGATGTCACCACTCTGGTGGGTGTCACCTGGGGGCGGTCCACACCCCAATAGCGACACCCTGATCCTTGGAACTTTCTGTGTACTGAACCAAAATCCCAAACACTGTTACAGGCCTTCCCAGCTATCTTCCACAATTATAAAATACCTCCTTCCAATGTAATGGAGATAAGGAGAGGGAGAGGTGTTTGAAGGAGAGAGGGAGGTGCTTGAAACTAAGATCAGGAGAGCAGCATAGTGTGACACCCTAGGGAAGGAAGCTACTGTATATTACATTTTTGTTTTGGGGCTTAGAAATGCTTTTTACACCAGTTTTAGTTGTGAAAACACAAAGGTTATGCGCAAATACATTAACAACACTAGCACAAATGAGTACAAACTTGTGCTCATATATACAGCCATAACACATACATTTTATGCTCTGATAACTATAATTTGGAAATATTTTTAGCATAATAGTATAGCATGTGAATCCCTACCGCCCTCCTGTCTTTCAAACTAGGGACTTTTCATCACTCTAGAGATGTTAGAACTGCTTAGAATAATTCAAAATTGAATAACGTGATTCTTGTGAGCTGTATTTTCTACATACATGTCTTTGTAAAGTGGGTAAATGAAATTGATAAAAAATATAAATAATATAAATAAGTGAAATATGTGCAAAATTATTATACTTGTGTGTATAATTTGAATAAATATTAATTAATTAAATAAATAAGTGAGTGGGTTGCCTACACCATACACATACTCATACAAGTGTGTCACTAAAATCAAAATCAAATACAAACGTGTTGCGCTCCACTAATGAAATTAAAATGGGAAATATGCACGAAAGGATATATACATAAATTAAATATTAATAAATAATTTTAAATCATTTTAAATGACATAAATGAGTCCAACTTTAGTTTGCAATCCTACTAAAGCTGCGTGCTTATTTCAAAACAATCCGTGACTTTTGGTGTGTGTTCCACTAGTGATAAATATGAAAAAAGTTCAAAAAATCTTTAACTTGTGTGCTCCTTCACCAGTGTGTGCTCACCTGACTTATATGACCAAACCATTAAGTGAAGTCAAAAACAGCTTGTGTCCCTTAAAATGGACTTGGAGATGAGTGGATATATGTATCCCTGTCCCAGATGGATGGATGGATGAGTGGAGTATTTCCCTTTTTCCAGCAGGGGGTCTCGCTGTTTCCTAGAGACCTATTTCCTGGAATTGGATGGATGGATGGAGTTATCCCTCTTTCCTCTAGGGGGTCTATTCACTCCTTTCTGATTTATCTCTCCATATACATAAGTGGCATGTAATTAAAGAGTAAGATATCACGACATTTAAAGGAAAATACACAGCAAGTATTAGGAGTGAGGCAAACACATAGAGGATCCTGTAATATTGCACATAAAAACTATTTTATTTTTTTATATCATGTGAGTGCACTATATTTTGCTTAATAAATACTTTTTAAAGAAGATAAGGCACTATATCTTACTCTTTAATTACATGGCACTTATGTATATGGAGAGATAAATCAGAAAGGAGTGAATAGACCCCCTAGAGGAAAGAGGGATAACTCCATCCATCCATCCAATTCCAGGAAATACAGGTGAAACTCAAAAAATTAGAATATCGTGCAAAAGTTCACTTATTTCAGTATTGCAACTGAAAAGGTGAAACTAATATATGAGATAGACTCATTACATGCAAAGCAAGATAGTTCAAGCCGTGATTTGTCATCATTGTGATGATTATGGCTTACAGCTCATGGAAACCCCAAATCCACAATCTCAGAAAATGTGAATATTACATGCAATCAATAAAACAAGGATTGTACATAGAACAATATCGGACCTCTGAAAAGTATAAGCATGCATATGTACTCAGCAGGGGCAGACTGGCCATTTGGAAACTTGGGCACTGCCCGAGGGCCCGGAGTCAGTAGGGGGCCCCATGAGATGCCCCTGGTACCTTTTTCATAGACTTTTTTGAGTTTGGGCAAGGACACAGGGGCCCCATGATCCCCTATTGCCTGGGGGCCCCATGAGTTGTCAGTCCGCCCCTGATCACAGCTGATCGCATGTAAACAGGGTTATCGGCATTTCTCTCCTCACGAGCTGTCACGCTGAGGGGACATGTGCACTCATCATCAGGGCACTGATGATCAGTGTGCCCTGATGATCAGTGTAGCCCCAGCATTTCCACCTGTCAGTGTCCATCAGTGCCAGCTCTCAGTGTTCATCCATGCCACCTGCCAGTGCCCATCAGTGCCACATCAATGCCACATATCAGTGCCCATCTGAGCTGCCTTTCACTGTCACCCATCAGTGCCAGTCAGTGCCACCTATCAATGCCAATCAGTGCCACCTATCAGTGCTGCCAATCAGTGCCACCTATCAGTGCCAGTCAGTGCCTCTTATCAGCGCCAGTCAGTGCCGCCTATCAGTGTGCATCAGTGCCGCCTATCAGTGCCCATCAGTGCTGCCTATCAGTGCCACCACCTAACAGTGCCAGTCAGTGCCACCTAACAGTGCTGCCTACCAGTGCCAGTCAGTGCCTCCTATCAGTGCCACCTATCAGTGCCATATGTTAGTGCTGCCTTTCAGTGCCCATCAGTGATGCCTGTCATTGTCCATTAGTGCCACCTACCATTGCCTTCTCATCAGTGCCACCTATCAGTGCCCATCACTGCAGCCTCATTAGCGCACATCAGTGAAGGAGAAAAAATCACTTATTTACAAAATTTTATAACAAAAACTAAGAAAAAAATTTTTTTTTTCACAATTTTCAGTGGTTTTTGGTTTAAGAAAAAATAAAAAACCCAGAGGTGACTAAATACCACCAAAATAAAGCTCTATCTGTCACAAAAAAAATGATAAAAATTTCATATGGGTACAGTGTTGCATGACCGCGCAATTGTCATTCAAAGTGCGACAGCGCTGAAAGCTGGAAATTGGCCTGGGCAGGAAGGGGGTATAAGTGCCCAGTAGGCTAGTGGTTAACCACTTCCAGACCGGACACTTTTACCCCCTTCCTGACCAGGCTAATTTTCAGCTTTCAGTGCTCTCACATTGTGAATGCCAGTTACTCAGGCAAACGACACTGTATCCAAATGAAATTTTTATCATTTTTTTCACACAAATAGAGCTTTCATTTGGTGGTATTTAATCACCACTGGGGGTTTTATTTTTTTCTAGAAAAGTGGAAAAAGACTGAAAATTTTGAAAATAAACATGTTTTTCTTCGTTTTTGTTACTAGATTTTGCAAATAAATATACTTTCTTCATTAATTTAGGCCAAAATCCATTGTGCTACCTTTGTTTGGTAGAAATAACCCAAATCAGTTTGTATTATTTAGTCTGTATTAAAGTTATAGAGTCCACAGACCACGGTATATATATTTGATATATTTGAAAATTTATCAATCCTGATGTACTGGCTACCTATATAGTTTCTCAGGGCCCTAAAATGCCAGGACAATACAAATACTCCCCAAATGACCCCTTTTTGGAAAGTAGACAGTCTGAGGTATTTAATGAAAGGCAAGGAGAGTTTTTTGAAGTTGTAATTTTTTGCAAATTTTTTAAGGGGAAATGATGAAAGTAAATAATTTTAATTTTTTTTTCACAAAGTTGTCATTTTAACAAGTTCTTTCTCTCACACGGCATAGGCATACTTGCAGTTACACCCCAAAACACATTCTTCTACTCTTCCTGAGTATGGTGATACCAAATGTGTGAAACTTTTTCACAGCCTAGCCACATAGAAGGGCCCCACATCCAATAAGCACCCTTAGGCGTTCTCGGGGCAAAAATTACACATCTAATTTCTTGACTGTCTATCACAGTTTTGGAGGTCCTGGAGCACCAGGACAAAGGAATTACCCACAAAATGACCCATTTTGGAAAGAAAACACCCCAAGGTATGTTTTAAGAGTCATGTGGAGTCTTCTGAAGACTGCATTTTTTGCCAAACGTTTTTGGAAAATGTGAAAAGAAGATGAAAATGTATTTTTTTTCTATGCAAAGTTGCCAGTCTATGAGATATATCTATTACACAACATAGGCATACTTAAAATTACACCCCAAAACACATTCTATAACTCTTCCTGAATATGGCGATACCAAATGTGTGAGACTTTTTTACAGTCTGGCCACATAGGGGGCTCCACATCCAATAAGCATCTTTTGCAGTTCTAGGGGAAAAAATGACACATCTAATTTCTTGACTACCTAATGCCATTTTGGAGGTCCTGGAGCATCAGGACAATGGAATTACCCACAAAATGACCCCATTTTGGAAAGCAAACACTCCAAGGTATATTTTAAGAGTCATGTGGAGTCTTCTGAAGACTGCATTTTTTGCCAAAAGTTTTTGGAAAATGTGAAAAGAAAATGAAAATGTTTTTTTTTTTACGCAAAGTTGTCAATCTATGAGATATTTCTATTATACAACATAGGCATACTTAAAATTACACCCCAAAACACATTCTATAACTCTTCCTGAATATGGCGATACTAAATGTGTGATCAGAGACACCGTGAGCTGGCAGGCAATGTTTTGTGAGTGTGTGTGTAAACTGTGTGCAAAGACTAAAAAGTACTCACAGTTTGCTGTAATGGCTCTCAGGTGATCAGGACTGGTATGGTGGTGATCAGGACCCGTGGGTTTGGCAGCGATCAGGATCCAATGATGTGGCGGCGATCAGAACCCGCTGGTATGGCGGGGATCAGGACCCACTAGTTTGGTGGTGATCAGGATCTGCTGGGGTGGTGATCAGGACCTGCTGGTATGGCTGTGATCAGGATCTGCTAGTGTGGCGGCGATCAGGACCCGCTGGTATAGCTGTGATTGGGACCTGCAGGTGTGGCGGTGATCAAGACTTGGTGGTATGATGATCAGGACCTGGTAGTGTGGAGGTGATCAAGACCTGCTGGTGTGGAGATCAGGGACACTGGGACGCTATGCAGTGATCAGGGACACAGCTGGGCCGCTGTGTGGCGATCAGGGACACTGACGATCAGGGACACTGACAATCAGGGACACTGACAATCAGGGACACTGACGATCAGGGACACTGACAATCAGGGACACTGACTATCAAGGACACTGATGATCAAGGACACTTGTGATCAGGGACGCTTGTGATCAGAGACACTGACGATCAGGAACGATTGTGATCAGGGACGCTTGTGATCAGGGACACTGACGATCAAGGACACTTGTGATCAGGGACACTTGTGATCAGAGACACTTGTGATCAGGGACACTTGTGATCAGGGACACTTGTGATCAGAGACACTGACGATCAGGGACACTTGTGATCAGGGACACTTGTGATCAGAGACACTGACGATCAGGGACACTTGTGATCAGGGACACTTGTGATCAGGGACACTTGTGATCAGAGACACTGACGATCAGGGACACTTGTGATCAGGGACACTTGTGATCAGGGACACTTGTGATCAGAGACACTGACGATCAGGGACACTTGTGATCAGGGACACTGGCGATCAGGGACACTGGCGATCAGGGACACTGGCGATCAGAGACACTGGCGATCAGGGACACTGGCGATCAGACACTGGCGATCAGGGACACTGGCGATCAGGGACACTGGCGATCAGGGACACTGGCGATCAGGGACACTTGTGATCAGGGACACTTGTGATCAGGGACACTGGCGATCAGGGACACTGGCGATCAGGGACACTGACGATCAGGGACACTGGCGATCAGGGACACTGGCGATCAGGGACACTTGTGATCAGGGACACAGGCGATCAGGGAGACTGGCGATCAGGGACACTGGCGATCAGAGACACTGGCGATCAGGGACACTGACGATCAGGGACACTGACGATCAGGGACACTTGTGGTCAGGGACAGTCAAGGACACTTGTGATCAGGGACAGACAATCAGGGACACTTGTGGTCAGGGACAGGCAGTCAGGGACACTTGTGGTCAGGGACAGTCAGGGACACTTGTGATCAGGGACAGACAGTCAGGGACACTTGTGGTCAGGGACAGACAGTCAGGGACACTTGTGGTCAGGGACAGTCAGGGACACTTGTGATCAGGGACAGACAGTCAGGGACACGTGATCAGGGACACTGTGATCAGGGACACTGTGATCAGGGACAGACAGTCAGGGACACGTGATCAGGGACAATTAGGGACACTTGCGATCAGGCTTGCTCAGGCTATCCGGCTCCTTCTCTCACAGACAGAACTCCGTGTGAGGAGAAGGAGCCGGAAGCCGCACCATGCGGCTTCTGTTTACATTTAGACTGTGTCCTTATTGGACACAGTTGGTCACATGGTACAGGACGATTTCATTGGTCCTGTACCATGTTACCTGATCCCCTGTATCTGAGGGACCCGGCGATCTCTGGGCACGCGCGTGCGCGGTCAAGGGGGCGGAAGCCGCACCATGCGGCTTCTATTTACATTAAGACTGTGTCCTTATTGGACACAGTCGGTCACATGGTACAGGACGGTCCTGTACCACGTCAGGTGATCGCCGGTATCCGAGGGACACGGCGATCACCGGGCTCGCGGGTGCGCGCCCTAGGAGCCGCGCACGATCCTCGGATGCGGGCGGCCTGTTTATAAACGGCCACCCGAACCTGCACTGCCACCGTCCGGCCGTTTATATACAACGGCCGGTCGGGAAGTGGTTAAAGGGACACAAGCTGTTTTTGACCTCACTTAACGGTTTGGTCATATAAGTCAGGTGAGCACACACTGGTGAAGGAGCACACAAGTTAAAGATTTTGTGGACTTTTTTCATATTTCTCACTAGTGGAAGACGCACCAAAAGTCACGGATTGTTTTGAAATAAGCATGCAGTTTTAGTAGGATTCCAAACTAAAGTTGGACTCACTTATGCCATTTAAAATTATATTTATTAATTTATTTAATTTTGTATATATCTTTTTGTGCATATTTCACATTTAAATTTCATTAGCGGAGCATGACACGTTTGTATTTGATTTTGGTTAGAATAATTCTCCATGCTAAATAACTGATCTAAATGATTGAGGCAATTCCTTGTGTAAAGTTAAAATGACATGTCTCCACCGACATCACCTATATGAATAAATAATCATACCAAACCACATATTGCCGGCACTACAAGAACCTTTACTTATAAAAAGACTTATTTAATGAAATAATAAAAAATGAAGAGATAAGAAAAAAAATTGTGAAAATAAATATTGGGAAATTAAATATATTAAGCTCCTCTTCACAACAAACCTACAGACAATATAAATAATGACCACAAAACAGGAGAAAATAACACTGACAGTCCACAAAAGGGTTAATAAAATCTTAAAAACTATTTTCCCATTTTTTCTTTTCTCTTTATTTTTTCTTATTTTGTTAAATAATTCTTTTTATAGGTAAGAGTTCTTGTAGAGCTGGCTATACGTGGTTTGGCCTAATATCTTGTGTAACTTTTCACTTTTAAATGCATGTTTTGCTGTGAAACTATACAATGGGACATTATTTCCTGAAGTTTCA